TCTTAGACTGCGTCAACACTCGCCCCAAGGCTCTCCAGGACTCGACTCGACTCTCCAGGACTGCACTCTCTCTACTGCGTCTATTGTGCTGTGCTCCCCAAGACCAACGCAAACTCTCTTTATTCATTTTCACAACTCTAACCAATTACAAAGCAGTAAAAAGACTCTAGGGCGTAACCTTCAATCATAAAGCCAATCACACTAAGTACTGAATACGTCATATCTTTTGATTAATCGTTCACTACATTAATAACTAGAATACCAACTGTCAGAATAGCGACGGATATCTCGTAATTAGTTCCAAATCACTGAGCCAAGTTCCGTCCAAAACTTCAAATAGGCCTAAACGATGACAGACATAACACAGCAATTCAGCTAATAATCAACTAATTAAGTCGGTCAACAGATATGCAAAAACAAATTCATGACAATATTACATTTTTTCACTATGATCGTGGCAAGACATGTTTATTTTTTTTAATTACAAACCTTGAACATTGATATATGTCATGTCAGAATGTTGTAGCCTCAGACTCGCAATCTACGAGAAGAGACTTGAATGGGATCTTGACATGATGTCACCATACAGTACTATGTGCGTTGCAAACCCCAAGTAATGTACCTCTAGTCTCATATAAAAAAAGATGACGACTTTGATTGTTGCGCAGATCAACGAGTACAAACTGAGACGTTACCAAGCTTTAATTACGTACTTTTAGGTGATTGGAAGGTATCGAATGAGTCATCGGTGGTAATTAGTGCAAGTCGCGCCCAGGTCAAACCTCATACTTGTGATTTCCATTAGAAGAGAGCATTGGATTTTGGGGAAAATCAATGCTCATCAACATAAACGTCGCACATGCGCAGCGCGACGACTACCGCCTGTTAACACTATTAAAGTAATAACAATATTAAATATTAATAGTAACAGTGTAATTATTACATCACGAGTTGGGCAAAACGAGGAGCGACCATATCCAACCACTATATATTTTTTACCGACTAAAACATTTTTATTAAAAATAATTTATGAATAATGTCCAAATGCTCAACTTTAATTTCTCATGTGGTATAGTAGTATTAGACTCCCATTAGAAAGTGATCTACATTTCAATTCTTCCTATAAATTCTTTAGAATTGTTCAATATCCACATTTGATTTATACCACCAATAGAAGACATAAATATGTTAATATTTAAGACAACTTCTTGGTTGAAAATTTAGGTGATCTAGCAATAAATCTAGCTTTGGTAGCCAATGCAAACCGGATGATGAGTTTGTCTATGTTGACGACTTACATGTAAATGAATTAAATGGTTTTTTTCTGGCGAAAGACAAAAAAACTGCAGAAAAGAAGTGACTTTACATAGTGTTATTGGTTCATTATATAAATATTAAGCTTAAATGTGCCAATTAACCCATAATAATGTTAATTTCCATAATAACATTGTATAACATGTATAATGCGTCCGTCGTTATAAAATATCGATTTCACCGTGGGGGCAACTGGGACATCCAATATTTTTACATTAATAGACTTTAATCTCAAATCGCCACATTTTATATCCACAGGTAATTCGAAACGTATTGCGAATACTATTCTGTTTACTGTCATATTTATTTCACGATGAATGATACTCCATTGCGCTTATCAAGATACAGTATCACAGCAACACGTTAATAAATACGCCAGGCGCCTAACTTGGGCAAAATGAGTTGGTACGTCATAAACATAGGCAAATTCATCATGATTCCTTTGAAAACGCGAATACGCACCCAGACATACATACGCACAAATTGATCATAAAAGTTGGTCTAGCAAATTTCTCCAATGGCGGGCACGTGATCTATAGCTTGACTGTATATCCAATTCCTGTAGTAGTATACCGTTAAATAGTATAATATAATACTAAATGAATTCTTTGGTGAATCTGCTAAATGTTTAGTTGCACAACTCGATGGATTACTGATGGCTGTATGTAATTAACTTCCACTCGACTCAACGAGTTTGAATGTAATTATATCGGAACAAACGTCCAATTGAGTCGAAGCATAAATGTAAAACAGGATTTGATACGTCGAAAAAAACCTGTACGAAAACAACCTGATCTGTGATTGGTCAGACTGTTGTCAAATGTTAGTTAAATAGCCAATCAGGCTCAAATATTGACACAAAACGTTAGCATCGTCAACTATGGGGATTATGTTAATGGTCTTGTGACACTCGCATCTGTTGTTCAGTTTATACACACCGATAACGTGATGTCACAGGTCACACATCCTTATAGCTTAGTCGGGCATTTTGGGTTGAGTATATATTATCACAGGTCCGTGCTGTCTGGGGCTCATATTTTTTTTAATAGAGAGCAGCAAGAGTTATGAAAACTGTGTGTATTTGTGTGTGGATGCTGATGATAGTTTATGCCCAGGAAGGTAGGTTTTATGTATATTATTACTTGACATTAAATAACTAATATTTATTTATGCGAGAAATATTTAGGAAACAATCACAATTGCACGGAACACAATTCTACTTTTCTTTCAAACCAATTATGATTTCACCAGCATCCATTCAGATTGTCTAAATGATATACACTTGTGGATTGTTGTCTTCCGTTGATACTGACATCATAAAAATCCGTTTTCTCAATTTTAATCTGAAACTATATATATATATATGTGCCTTTAAGTAAGACAGAAAATCAAGAGATTCAAATCAAATTAGGACATTTTTGCAAAAAACTTGATTAAATGAACATATGAGGCTGAATGAGCAATCAGTAATTTGATTTGTATCTTTTATGCGTCATTCTAGATTCTGGATGTGGCAATGAAAGGTACATGACAGGAGTTACTGGCACATTTACGTCCATGAATTTTGACGGTGAAACTCCGTATGATAGTTTTGCAGACTGCAGATGGAACATCGATATTCCTAATTCAGATAAGGTAATAAGACGGAGACGCACTATTTTGAAATCTTCTAGGATGATTCGCATATATAATTTTGGAGGGTTTAGAAGAACAGGGACAGGGAGTGTGTGACACAAAATAATCAAATGCGCATGTGTACTATATTACAACTGCGTACACTTAATTACCTTTAATATAATTTAAAGGTTGTAGAGTTGTCCTTTAGCCATTTTGATGTGGAGGGATCCGCCAGATGCCAGTTTGACGAAGTGGCCGTTCATGATGGTGGCGGTGCACCTTCTCCAATTTTAGAGAGACTTTGCGGGCATCATATACCTTTCCCAATCAGCTCGACTGGGCCATCGATGTATGTCACTTTTATAAGCGACTCCGTCATTGAATGGACGGGATTTGAAGCTCATTATCGCTCACGTGACGAACCAAGTAAGTAGAGTGTTTGTCAGGAAAATAAAATTATATATATAAGTTTATTGATTACACATCTCTCAATAATTTATCAGCAGCGAATTATCTCTGTAATTATTCAATTAATAATTATATAATGGTAGAGTCAAAGAGTGAAATTACTATGGCTAATTAAGGAAGAAAATTTATTAAGTTTTCTGAAAAACTACGAAATCTTTTTGAGATGATATTAGTCAAATGCCTCCACCAGACAGTGGTGGTGGTGGGCATGGGGTGGAGTTTGTTCATATTCATGTAAAAACTTGCAATTATTAATTTGTCGTTATGCAATATTGACATTTTTGTGATATTTGTATAGTTATTAACAATAACTATCACTACATCATATATGAAAACATGTAAGTGATAGGAAGGTATTAAGCCAAACTGTAGAACCTTCATACCTTAAACATTAACTTGAGAAATGTGTTCATGAGGGGATGACCAGCATAGCTCAAATGAAAACATTATAATTTTATTCGTTGCATTATTGATTTATTATTATTGTTATTGATGGAAGATCAATTTATTGAAACCTTCTTGAGGAAAATACAATCTATTTGACTAAAATTTGAAGAACATGAACATATTTTGTTATGCATTTCCCCAACAACATGCAAATTAAATGCCATTAGATGTAGTCAGAATGGAAAACATTTTATAACGATATGCATATATATCTTGACAATTGTTGGTCTTCCTTTCCATGGTTGGACCAAATATTTGGAAGTAATGCGTGACTATAAACATAAACTATAAACAAGTGTTTTTGGGGTGATACACAAGGCTTATTCTGGATAGAACGTGTCAGACTTGACCTTAACTACGTAATTTTTCCCTGGCCGATTCTCGACTGCTACTAATAACTGTTCTCGACTGACTGCTGTATCAAGGCTCTCGTTTTATAAATATATAGATATATATAGTCAGAATGGGAGTTTAAGCTGCCGTTTTTTGTGATTTATTTGTAGTTTCGTGTGAACAGCCAACATATTTATGTGGTAATGACGAATCTGGATACTGTGCCCCTTCAGAAGAACGATGTGATGCTAAACTGCATTGCATTATTGATGAGCTAGGGTGCCCTGGTAAGAACTACTTATCTATGTGTCATTCTCATTAGGAAGTAGATTTGTGACCTCGGAAGTAATATTTGTTCGTCTTTACAATAGGAAACAGAGATAATTGCGGTCAACCAGCAATTACACCTAATACTGGTTCTGAAGTTCATACAGATATTGTTAATGGTGAAACTGCTATTCCACACAGCTGGCCATGGCAGGTAACGTGCTAGTAAAGTGTTCTCCAAACTGTGACACCTCACGGCCTAGCAGTCATGTTTATGAAAATTGAGTTTACAACAGTTTTTTAATAATTTGTTCCAGAAATGTGTGTCGTGTAGGGAATCCCTTTGACCCCTAGACACAAAATGACTACTATAGAATATTGTATTCGAAGAACATAACTTCAAAAAAAATGCATAATTGTTTGTTTTATACTGTTGTTTCCATGTCAACCATACCCACTTTTACGACAATTCAATAAATTGGCCATTGTATCAACAGCAAGCTTTTTTTTGCTCCTATGTTTTAAAAGCTGGTAAATGTTTGCAAAGCAGCTTTATCTCTTAAATGTGTTCGTAATCGTTATTCACTTTATTTACCTTGTTCTGAACAGGCCAGTCTACATAACTCAAAATTCCATGCATGTGGTGCTTCTATCTTGAATGAAAAATGGGTTATTACAGCCGCACATTGTGTTTCTCTGTGAGTTCTTAGCACTTACTACCTTCTACCAGCTCGTTGCACTACTCGTACACATGTATATCGTTTTACTGTTGCGTCCGTTGTTTCTCGATAAAACTCTTTATTCACTAAATCGTTGTCAGTCACGTTCGTTGTCTATCTTCATAAACATTAACTTCTATGCATATGTAGATGGTAAATCTATATTGCATACATCTACAGACTTTGTGGGTTTATTTACTAGTAAGGCGTGGATTTTCGTAGAGCCAAACAAATATAATTCTTTTTATAAATTAAATTATCATCATCTAATTCATCAAAATAATTGTACAAATCATTCTTTTATGCATTTTCCTCCTGCATCAACGTTAAATGATAATATAACAAATTTGGATGAATTCGCTGATGTTATGTAACACAATTTATACCACGGCTAGTCACGTGACCGCAGTTCAGACTGACTCTTTTTTTCTGTATATGCGTTGTATTTTTGCTAATTGTAAACTGATTACAATTGTATTCATATGCAAAGTGTGAAAAGCAACAACTGTATTGATTTGCAGAGTGTAATTGCTGCAGGTGACTGCACATAACATGTAATTTGGCATTGAATTAGCTACATAAGTTTATATTAGTTATAACGGACAATCCATTATATAAATGTACATAACTTGTTAATTTACTTAGGTAGATGTACAGACTCTACTGTGGTTTTTGAAAATAGACGCATTAAAATTGGTCATAATAATATTACGTGGTGTGCATTAAACTATCCATGCAAATAATCGTTATATAATTTCGAAAACACTCCTGGTCTTTATATTGTTTTACATTTTAATATGGAGATGTTCGCGCTTATGTAGGTTACTCGACTTACACAATCAAAACTGTCGGTTTATATCTTTGATTCCATGGTGTTTCTAATATATATATACTGTTTTCCATTTTGAAATGGAGATGTTCAAACTTGTTAATAATATTTGTTCTTCCTTACCCTGAATAACATTTCAAACCTTCTCATCATTATTACATTTGGTCACTATAAAAATATTGATTCACATTGTATTTTGGCCACCGGCTCCAAGTGAATATTTAATGACTGTCACACTGTTGTCGAATTTTCGTAGTGCCCGTGATAACGTCTACATATTCGACGTTGTGGCTGGTGAACATAACTTGACCGACCCAGCACCTTCTAGACAAGAATATGGCCTCGAGAAGATCATAGTACACGCAGAATATAATCCTGTAGTTATGAACAATGATATTGCATTGCTAAAGATTCGAGGAGTAATCAATATGACGGCAGAAATAAGTGAGATATGTCTACCCGCACAAGGAACTGGCCACCAGGACGGGGACGAGGCGTGGATTACTGGATGGGGAGACTCCCTAGGTATGTATTGCTTTCAATGTATTAGGAAATTCCTGTAAAATGTGGAGTCATGGATAATATTAGTATGAAGTACACGACGACTTTGCACGCGTATGTGATGTTTTTGATAGGTATATGCGAAATGCTCAACATTACCGGGACCATAGCTAGATTTTTTTGTTTTTATTTTGGAGCAGTAGGAATGAAGTAATGTGTGAATGCATGACGCTGAGGAGTATTCTAATCAGCGTCACAGCTGATTATTTCCCGTAGTAATGAGAGATTTGGCAACTGGTAATAATTCCCCACTGCAAATTTAAAGCAGCTCGCCCGAAAGAGTCGTAAAGTCGTGAAGCAGTCGTGAGATCCTGTGTGATCAATGTCATATTGTGGAAATTAGACAATTCTTTGTTGATGGGGAAATTATGTGGACCAAGCCTACTACTTTAAATTCAAATGAATCACAAGTGAACAAGTAGGCAACATCAAGAGACAATGGGAAGTTCTTATTAGGCTACACTCCTTAGATCACAACGTTTAATTCATTGAAATCACTTTCGTGTTCTAGGTACTGCTGACGAAAGAGCATTGCAACAAGCAAAGACGTATTTAATAGACACGGCCGCGTGCAACGATACTGAATCATACAATGGAGCGATATCGACTAATATGGTGTGTGCGGGTTACTTGGAAGGAGGGATCGATGCTTGCGAGGTGAGGTCACAATTAATTATCGGCGACCAAACATATTTCATTCTGTAGGTGGATTTACGTCCTATTTAGCGTAATTAATGTGTACACTGGTCAAATTTTTAAATGACGATGATGGATTAAAATATATGTACATTGAATATAGCACCTTACATGAAAACAAATATTGCATTAATTACATTCATTCATTAATTACGTTCGATAGGGTGATGATGGTGGTCCCCTTGTCCGGGAAGATCCTATCACAAAAATATGGTACCTGTATGGCATCACCAGCTGGGGAGATGGTTGTGCTCTAGCCATGAAACCCCATGTATATACCAAAGTCAGTAATTACGTCGACTGGATAAACCAAATGATGCTTGCAAATCCTTAAATCAGAACAAAGGAAAAGAACTACCAATTTTGAGCTGAAGCATTCAGCTTAAACAGTCAACGATTACAATAATAATAATAATAATAATAATAATAATAATAATAATAATACATTGACCATGGAATATAATAATAAAACAAATTCTACTTGATATACTACTGAAATGCATATTAATAAACCCCATATTCGATGTTTTATCCATATGATTAAACTCAGACGTTTTCACATGTACATCAGTCCCCACACCCACTTTCGCTGACATACTAGTAAACCATAGTCATTTCACATGAATGTCAGTAACTGCACTTTCGTTTTTTTATGTCAAATAATAAACACCACAAACGTCCACATATGAATATTTGTAAACTCTACATTTATATTCATATACTTATTAGTAAACCCCACAGTCGTTTTCACATGAATATTAGTAAACCTCACACATGTGTTTTCACGTAAGTACTAGTTAATAAGCACAGTCTTTATCATATGAATATTAGTAAACCGTGTGTTTATTTTTACGTATATGTTAGTAAATCTAACAACCGTTCCATTAAGCACATTCAAAAAAGTATACAGGATTTTCTTTGTTTTGGTCACAAATGGGTGTCTAATTCTGTAACCTACTTTCTGAAGTGGGTTGCTTTTTTTCGGTGAGTAATTTCGGATATACAATCGAATATACACAATTGCTAAGAAATTAATACGTTTACGCAAACGCGCAATTGTGCATGCGCTGAACTCAATCCGAATATTAAAAAAACAACATCATATTGGGTCCAGAGGTGATTATAGTTTTAGTTCACCTGTCACGCAGTGATGGGATGGGACAGACAACTATTTGAAGGATGAATTTTGTGATTATTACGCAACTAGCTTCGAATAAAGCAATATATTGTATGATGTCTGCCCAAGTCGTTTATTACGTAGATGAATACGAATTCCAACTCAACTATTTACTCATTTCATTTAGAAGAGATCGAACTATGCATTTGGTTTCAAATGACACATTTGAAAGAATATATTCTCTAATTCGTGGTATATTTTGGTGTGATTTACCGTACTAATGACATGGTTTGAATAGAACACTGTGCGTGTATGCAAATGATCACTATTGCAATTTAGTGAGTAGGTTTCTGCATTTATTTCGTATTTTCATTGAATTATCGTGTGTAATGCTAATTCTATTATTGACGTTATCAAAATTGTAATCCTTCCACCCGTGCGAGATGTAATCGCACATCAATATTCCCCAGGCATTAGCACAGCTGGTGACCTATTAGATATCGGTTACTCATACGTCATTGTCGAATATCTAATCTTGCTTGTCATTGAATTTATTAGTAAACACCTTGTGCAGCTGATTTATCACATATTTTTTGATATTAATTCCCGATATCAAACCAATTAGTCTGCATGCAACATCGAACACCGGCGCATCCTACACCATGCAACGTTTGTGTATTCTGCTACTTCTAGCCGGAGTGATATCGGCACAAGGTCTGTAGTAGAACAAATTCGTAATTGTTACTTTGTGTGTATAGAGAAAGATGTTACCATAGTGACAGAGTAAAGAGGCTTAGGTGATTGTCAATCTGATTAAAATCTGATGTAGTGTACGGGCTTTAATTATTTTGGCTATAAACTTATTTTAATTTTCTTTGTTATTATATTTGTTATTAATGCCCTTTTATTTTATTATTTTACTTTGATTTTGATTTTGTGATTTTTTTTTAATTCCGCCCTACCTACATCTGAGCCGATGCCTATGTAACGAGATTTCAACGAGACCCACTATCGACGATTTTAGTCAACGAATCACAGACCTCCTTCTATAGCGCACATGATGACGTCACCGAGCAGAGTCAGGTAGCAAACAGACTCAAATAAAATGGCGGATTATACCGACGTTAGCGACCGAGAATGACACGGCTTTTCGGTAAGTTTATCATTGTAAAATGCAACGAAAGTCATTTTTATGTTAATATTGTGGCTCGAATGGTTCGACTTTAGATCGTTATTTTGCATAGTTATTCTGGGAGTGACGATTTTGTTTCCACCGGTTCGACCGAACACCGGTGTCTTTTTCCAGTCGCCTGCCCTGGAGACGTGATG